AATCTAACACTGCACATTGTTGGGGAATTCACAAGAGACGTGCCAAATGTGAAGTCGATGAGATGAACCATTAGATATGAATTCCACATACAGACAGACCTTTGGGTGATTCATAGGTTAATAAAAAATTCATCTTAGGTGAACATTATCACTGCTGAAATCTATTCTAATGAAGGAGTGTCAGACTCTGGCTTGATACTGTCTGATTTCTGCAGAGTGTTTTTCATTAAACTTTATACTTTTGATACAAAACAAGGGGGGTTTATACAGTTTTATGGGCCTAAACATTTTATGTAGGGTTTTTTTTCGTGTAGTAGGAAACAATGTGTGTATGAGTTGCAACTCACAGAGAAGAGCTTGAACAGGGGATACTGGAAAACCTTCCACTTCTTATCCTTGTAAGCGATCATTGGAACATCGACTTTGCTGAGATATTGGGAGAACAGGAGGATCAGGCAGACGGTGCTGTAGCAAAACAGAAGACAAGACAAAATGTGATGTTTCTCCGAAGGCCTTGCTCTCGCTCACAGCCAATAGTCCAAATGTGCTTGAACATGACATACTAAGATCCCTCACACGATTAGGGGAAAGAATTATGGGCAGCTAACACTGTGAGGGTGTGTTTTCAGTTCATCCCAAAGAAGAGAGGGAAAATAACCACCTAGAAAAAAAGCTTTAAACAAAGCGTTTAATTTTTTGTGTGCAGCTGGTCTGAGCACTTCTAGTCGAAGATCTCAGAACTTTTCAGAAAGGCAATGGTGTCATTACTTTAGCTTCTTTTTTAGGCAACCAATCAGACTTGCCAGTTTGATCACCAAGAAATTGGAGAAGCTTGTTCTGGCCTTCATCACAATAAACACAAAAAAGTATTTTGTGAATGTTCCTGATGATTGTTATAGAAGCAAATTCAATGTGCAGCGTTTTTACTTGAAGCGCTGGGAGGCAGCGCCCCCGTAGCGAGCACTCTTCCAGTAATTTACTTCCATAGAATACTACATGGACACTTGCCCTCACAGTTGCCTGTCACTGAATGGGATTCCATGCTGCGCATGAAACACTTCACACTGCGCATGAAAGACTGCACACTGTGCATGAAATACTCTTCTTATCGCTCAGCAGCACTGTGTTCTACATAACGAGCAAATCGTATTTAAACATCTACAGCATAGCCGAAACACTGTTCCAGATTAAACCTGTGACCACACAATCAGTCGAAACATCTGGTTGGATGTATGGAATTATAAATTAGTCACAGGTAAAAAAAAAAGCCCCTGGGGAACCTAATTGCTCTTGTATGAAAGACCAGGACACAGCCAGGGAGCAGAGTGGGGAGAGAAAAAAAACAAGTATAAATTGTGTTTATAAAGGATCACACACAAAAAGGTTTCGCTCGTCAAATTGATCATAATTTAGAAATAGTCTTCTTCATTTTCCACCACACTGTGTCTTATGACTGACCGGCACAGTTTCTAATGTTTTTAGTGGACGGGATCTATGTCTCTGCTCCTGTCAGCTGCTGGATAACCTGCATGGAGACGGCTGTGGGGGAGTAAGCACTGCATGGGGCTAAGAAGGATATGACTGATTACATCCATATATGGCACCAGGAGGTGAATGTGCTGAACCATTTAAAACCCACAAGGATCACTTTATGTAATGGCTTTAGTCTGCATTCATTATCTGCAGACGGCAGCGTGGACATTATGACAGATTACAATTGGCTGGGCAGGGGCAAAGGTAAAGGAGAGGAGAGATAATGTGGAGCAGTTATTTCGGTAGCAGATTGAGTGAATTAAAATAGTGAACATCACTGCTTTCATCAAGGAGCAAAGGGTCTAGAACGCAGGCAAATAAATACTGAATGAATGTAAACTTTTTTCTGCAGACACATGGTAATTAGATTTAATTTGTTATGGAAGGACTGCATAGAGCTTACCTTTTCTTTGAATGTCATGCATTTCCCATGTATCTATACCTTACATTACTGCGTCTGTAGTCTTTACGTTGCTACGCTCACATGCACCCAAAGTAATCTTAGTAAACCAATCAAGTCCTATAATTGCATCATCTTTCCTAATGCCACGAGGTAATAGGATAAATGTCCATCACAGCACAGTAGATTCAGACTATTTTGATTATTCTATCCTTCTTTTTATCAATATCATTAATGAGCGATGAAACACTAGAGACGCTTCTCATAATGTGAGAAGCGTCAAGGGGGTACGCAGCTCTGTTATGGTGGGTGTATCTCAAGGAGTGTTTCTGGGGACACTGCACTTTGCAGAAAGTGTTTTGACGATCATCAGCACCCAAGCACATGAAGTGCAGAATGAATTAAAAAAAAAAATTAAGCCTAAAATGGTGACTTTATACATTTCAATTACATATTAAATTCCCATGTAACTTAACTGCATATGATCAATGTAATTAAATTTCAAATCAAATAAATTATYTGTTCAATGTWTATATTTATGTATAAGTTTAACTTTAATTAATTAAATCAATAGTTTTTTATTTAGTCCCCAGGAGTGTTTCTGGGGACACTGCACTTTGCAGAAAGTGTTTTGACGATCATCAGCACCCAAGCACATGAAGTGCAGCATGAATTAAAAAAAAAAATTAAGCCTAAAATGGTGACTTTATACATTTCAATTACATATTAAATTCCCATGTAACTTAACTGCATATGATCAATGTAATTAAATTTCAAATCAAATAAATTATYTGTTCAATGTWTATATTTATGTATAAGTTTAACTTTAATTAATTAAATCAATAGTTTTTTATTTAGAGTAACTCAACATGATAGAAAACACTCCAGTACATGTGACTATTTGCATTGAACTTTACATTGAACTCTATGCAGAGAAGGAGTTAGTCGTTTTCTTTTTCTGATGGAAATCTCTACGATGTCGTCTTCCTGTCTCATTTCATTAACTGACCTATTTAACTGATCTCAATTCCAAGAAGTCTTTAAGTTGATTTTTACTATGAATTTGCCAGCACATTGTTGCAGATATGTATGGATCTGCCGTTAAAGAAAACAATTCCTTCACATGTTTTCTCTACATCAGTGTAAGACGTCTTCCACTCACAGAGCAGCTATTCCCCAGTGACCTCCAGACTTCTTTCCAGCCTCAATAAACAACGACAGGCCAATAAGGTTGATGGTGGGAGCGATAGCCAGAGGGCCGATAAATCTGAGCACCAGGCCCACCAGTCCAGAAAAGCCCAGGAACATCTGCAGCAGAGACGACACCAGGATGGCTCCCTGGATCTGTGGATGGCAAGGCAGGAGGGACATAATACACATTGATCAATTTATATGCTGGGTTTCTGTGGTCTTCCTGCAGGTTTACAGAGAATAGTGATTCATATCGCAGGTTGAAGTTGCACATACTGAACATTCTTTTCCATTCCGATTCTTTGGACTTTGGCGTTTATATATAGCCTACTACTGCATATTAATTATCACATTTCATTGTGGCAGCTTTATATCCACCTTTTCTTTGAACGCTTTCCAAAGGCTCAGACCGACTAACTGCTCAGATGGATTTTCGATACTCAACCTGCTCCATTTAAAGCTTCCCACTACTCTGTACACATATATACTTGTAGTTTTAGTTGTGAGTCTTATTTGTGAGTGCATATGAAAGCAGTAAAACATACTTCCTGCCGAGAGCTATGTAAAGGTGTGGTAACTGTATGATCGGTTTCCCTTTTGGAACATACATATGGGAATGACATCCATTTATGTTGCCACAGGGAAAGATAATCTTGTGCAAAACCCTGCTGACGAGGAGGAGATATCTGGGGGAACACAATATTTGAAGCACTATACGATGAATTTAATTTAGATTCAATTCCAAATGCTGAGTCAGAGTTATTCCAGAGGAACACATAAAACCTGCTGACCCCATTCATTCGTAGAAATACATCTGAAGGAAACCTTACATTAATGAAATGAGATGTGTTTTTATTATTTTCATTAAGTATCAATTTCTGACTCAGAGGAAGAATCTTGACTATTTATATGTAAGACTCTTTCTTTAAACCTGGGGTTGAGGGTTATTCCAACTCAAACTCCAGCATTTTCTGCTTTTACACAATTTTCTGTGAGTTTTCTCTTTCACAATTTTGGGCTCTTTCAATTTCTTGAATTTAGAGGCATTATCCTAACTTTTTACAAACTTGTTGGGTCTTATGTTATTTTGTACTTTTTACATTTCCAAGTTTTTGCATTTAACACATTTTTACTTCTCACATTCAACCTGTAGCTTATGACAAGAGAACAATATGGAACCGTAACTGTGATCCATTCTAGATTTTAGTCCAATACTTGTGCATGTTGATATGTTATCTCCTAAATTGGTAAGAATTTCTAATTGGCATACAGTCATCAAGGTGATACATAGGCCTGACCATTCCCCTAAATCCCTTAGCACTACGAAGATACTGGATTCCAACTGGATTCCTTAACAGGACTTATAAACTGCCACCAGTGACTATTTCACATACCTCACGCATTCGTGACATCCAGACCTCATCAGAATCTTCTATAAGCTGCGGACTGGTGCCATTCTGCGTGTGGATGGACAGCGTCACTGGCGAGTTTGGGGTTGGACACTGCCACTTCGGCAGAGCAAGAATGGCCAGGGTCGGAGTGATGAAACTGAAGGTCCCACCCTGAAGGATTGGTAACCTCCAAGTCAAAAAGGCAAAGAGGTTAAAGGTCAGGGATCAGTGGAACACAATGATATCAGGTCTAGGTGCAGACTAGGAAGACCTGGATCTGCTTAAAACAAGACTTGCGGAAGACGTACGATTTGTAATGGCCTCTCCCCCCAACAACTGGTTCAGTTGGAAAGCAAAACAAAATTTGTGCAAATGCGTTTTGGGGTAAATGTACCAGAGCAAGGATTTCACAAAAGGTGACACACCTCAATTTTTCCTTGTTGCACAGAGGCATCATTTCATAAAATAGCTGTTTTAGAAATTGTCTCAGTAACATCATACAGAGATTCTAGATTCCAGCTTCCAGCTGAAGTTTTAGTAGAGACATGTTTTTTCACTATTGATCAGCATTAAATAATGTGATTTGTGCATGTGTGAATCATCAATCGTGCCATATTTCTATGTACTCTTGGTTTCGTGCCTTTGAGCTTTTTATCTCCCTCTTCTCTTGTTGTACAAAACCACTTCATACCACAGCTCTAAAAGGTGCAATAAAAGTACAGATTAACTATTCAGTGTCAAAGTGTGTGTGCTGGGACCCCTTTTTTGTCCCTTTAAGCTTTTGCCAAACTGCGTAGGATGGAAACTCAAACAGAAGAATTAGCTATTTGCTCAGGCTCACTGCTGCAGCAGTGCAGAAGGGGCAGGGAAGTAGGTGTGGACCCCTGTAATGTGAGTACAGTATTGTATGTGTGGGAGGCAGCCGCTGTGACTGATTCATCAGTTTTAGATTGATCAAAGTGCAAAACAGCTCCCAGATTTGACATCTCTAAGAAAACCACAAATTAAGCCTAAAGCTTACAGAGCATTAAGGAAAACTATTTCAGACATGTCATTTCCACCATTACAGTCACAAAGAGCCTGGCAAGGGTCCAACTCATAGTTGAACTCCACACGAACTACCGCATGGGTCTCCGAGCTATAAACTGCAACTTCAGGCTGATGCAAACACAGCTCAGCGAAGCTTTGTATATGCATGAACTTTCTGAAACCATCATGAGACCATTGTGAGGAGGCAGAGTGTAAGGTGAGCAGTGTCTGAATATGGTGGTTTTCTTGACCGTGGGAACACTCCTGACCTGAGCACGAGCATTCCCTCCATTTGTACCTGCTGTAAATCTGAATCCTGAGTGATCATTCCATAGGAGGTTAGTACACACAAGAAAGCTCACACACAAGCAGAAGCTGTCAAAGTTTACATTTGTGTGTGTGTGTGTGTGTGTGTGTGTGTGTGAGTGCATACAAGAGTGTGGAAACTTGTTAAGTACTCTTTCAATACCATGAAGCCTCTTACTTCCAGGCTCACAGGTGTTTAAGTGAAGGGTGTTACCTGGTGCCGATAGCCGTCTGCAGCAGTGTGCATAACCCTGACACAAAGAATATGGTGGAGATGAGCTGGCTTTTGGCGATGTTGTTGTCCTTAATGCACAGGGGCTCAGCCAGGATGAGTGGGATTGCAATGATGCCGCCGAAAGCAAGGATGTAATGCTGCGGAGGCAGAAGAACAAGAATAAATTCATATCGATTAAATCATGATCATGGCCTGCTGTTTTTTCCTGACCTTCACTAGTCTTTATGTTAAAGATGTGAATGTATTTACATTTTTCTCAAAATAGACATTTACCTCAAATGAATCCACTACTACACATTATAATGACTGATTGAAAAATTAAACGCTAAAATTCCCTCATTATGAAATGAGTTACTACATTCAAATTAAAAATGAAGTGGTTTCTACTATGAAGTACCGAAAAGGATAAAGTTGTTGCATGGATAAACATCGGCCAAAATCTGACTTATTGGCAATTATATTGAACTGCAGCAAAATTAAAGGTCATGTAGCTGGAAGTGTTTTCATTAATTCAAACAAAAGTGATATTTTAGTGATGTGATAATGCAAACCACTGGAACAGTCCATACAGAAAACTGCTTTCCAATTTTAAATTGCATAATTTACATTTTGTTATCTTCTTCACTTTACAGCCTTCCTTGAAAAAACAAAAAACAAACCGTACCTTAAGACAAATCCCAAATATTATCCTGCTTCTGTCACTGCTATCACTTCTATGGTACTGTTTAAAAAGTACTGACCATACAAAACATAGTTTGTACAAGAACTTGTATTCATTGCTGCATACTTTGATCATTTAAAGTGCACTCTATTATAGATAGCCTTGTGCCAATTTTGTTCATTTCATGATCCCAGCAGATTTATTGCAGTATTTACCTTTTATGTTTGAGAGAAACAGTCTTCATTACATGAATTCATTACATGAATTCATTACATGAACCACCTGTTACATTTAAACACTCAATCCTGCTGTCAAGTTGCATTTTCATTTCTGTGGGGGATGAATATGAATGTATAGTAACAATTATTAGATCTGTGTTTGCCAAAAAACACACACAAAAATAATACATCTGCACTGTACAATAAATAAGCTGCAGTCTTGCTGAACTGCCAATAGATGTCACCATAAACACAGTAAGTAGAGTGAGCTGCTGAGGCAACTCCAACAAAACTCCACTAATTAACAATATGCTTAAAACAGCAGCAAGTACAAGTAGTAAAAGTGCTTGTGTAAAAATGTAATAATAAAAGTGACTAATTTGAAATGTGCTCAAACAAGAGAATGGCAACTTTTCTATGTACTGACTGCTTACAATGTATCAGTTGCTCACGTTCTGTTCCTTTCAAACCCATGTACTCTGTGATCGATGTTATTAAAAATGTAGTGATTGCCTGTAAAGATATGTGTGTAACCTATTAAATGCACCCATTATACTGTAAGGTGACACTGGCTATAAATGTATCATTTATATTTATCACCAGCTTAAAGTTTTATTTGTCGGATGAAAGTTAAAATAGGTACAAAGTGTTGGACAAGTAGGACATGGCAGCTCAGCTTATTTTAAATAATTATTATATTACCTCATAATGAGTTGCCTGCATCCTTTTTTAACCAAATACCCATAAAAACTGATTTTTTTATTCTGTATTTTAAACTACAATTCAATCCAAAAATTGAATTTTAGTTTTGCCAATCAACACTAAGTGGCCGGCTCAACTTGAAACATGAGAGGGATTGATGTTTTTCCCTGATACGCTGGGCCATAAAAATGAAAACAGATGTTGATAGGCCCCACTAGATTTATTGGAGGGAGGTGCTGAAGGTCAGTTTCATGACAGAGGAAACTGGGAGAATTCATTCAGGAACAGAACCCCTGTATCATCTCCAGTGAATGCACATTGATCTCAACTGACACCAATTTCCTCTCCTCCTCAATGTAAACAACTAGTTTGACAATAACCTCAACAAGTGCTTCAATGTGCTTTAAATTTTTCACAAGATAACTTGTTTGCATGCTCCCAAAAAATATCTCAAACATGTGCAACACCAAATCTTGTGTGGCAATGAACTGAGCACTTGGCACAAATCACTGCAACAAATAATCCTTTTGTACTGAAGCAACAGGAAGAAAGAAAGCCAAATTAATGGGAAGAGAGTTTATACTTCTGTGAAAATGGCAGCCAATGAGAGACAGATTGATGTGGTTCCCAAACAGAACATCTTAAGATATTTTATATTTTTATTTTTGTCAACAAATATCACGAAAACACAAAACACAACTGTTTCATTATTTCATATACACTTATGTATTTAAATATAATTTTAAAATAAAATGAAACTTTAAGTTGTTGACCTCTATTTTACCTCTTTAATAGAAAGTAATAGGTGGAAGGTTTATAAGACTTTTTCTTTTGATAATTATAGCACAAAAGACTGGGATTATCCTTCAACTCCACCATGAATGCACAAAGTGTGTATCCTTAAAGTGTTTAGAATGCTCTTTTGCATTATGACAGATATGTCACCTTTTTTTAACCCAAAAAACATGGAAAAATTAAATAAGAGCTGAAGAGGAAACAGATTTAGTGTTTGACCTACTGTTAAGTTTACAGAGATTGGAGAAGTGACTGGTTTCATAAACTTCATGCTACACACTGCAAGGTACGCAACAAGTTCTAAAACATACATTACCCTAAAAGAAGAGGGATCAACCATGTGCTGGACTGATGGAATAATAAATAATATAGATAAAATGTCAATATTAAATGTGCTCCAAAAAATGCGTTGACTGCAGGTTTTCTTCAAAGAAATGCAAATAAATACAAACAAATCACAGGATAATACGAAAAACTCGGCAGCCACTAGTTTTCAACAGTCATTAGGCTGACATATGTCTTGTTTTAAACTCCCAGCTGGAAGGAATTAACTTTAAAATAACTTAAAAGTACGCTCCAAACACTTCCATTTTTCTTTGTCTGTTGTTCAACCTGGGGCCTTCAATGCACAAATAAAGAAAAGTATCACACTCTTAACAATATCTTAATTGTTGTATTGTGACCATCTTTATTTTATAAATCTTTCAGGGCTTCCTCGTAACCAATTTTACTGCATGACTGCATGGCTGCACTGCTCTGAAATCAAACTCATGACCTTCAGGTCTTCTGATTTCCTTATGCAAGCACAAGTAAGAGTGCACAAGACTTTTTTTTATATATAACCTGTTGTCATGGTCACAGTACCATCCCTAGGTCACACGCTAACATACAAATACTCTCTGTGATTTTTGAATAGACAACAATCCCCCGTCTCCCTATATGTCCACCTATACAAAAAGAAAGGAAGTACACTGAAAGTATGTTCTCCTCTGTATGGTTCCATTTGAAATGTTGAGAAAGTGATGGATGGACACAGACTCAAGTCCTTGCATAAAGAGCCTTAAATCACATTGGTTTTGATTTAGAGTTGCTACAAGCATTTTATAAGGAGCATTATTGTCTTAAACATCTTAATGTGAATAACCACATGACTTGATGGTTTATTAACACGCATTTTGAATTTCAGACTGTAGTGATAGTCATCTGTTGAATTACTGTCAAGGCACAAACCAGGTGAATGGTGGTATTCTTCTCGAAATGACAAAGCAAAATCTTTCATAATTTTTTCAATGAAGCAGATGTTTGTTCCTGGGCTTGAAGTTCAATAAATGCCAATGGAATGACTCGGGGTCTTGTGTTTTTACAGTGATTTTACAGGAAAGAGGCAACGCACTTGACAGTCCAATACTATTGCTTAAATACAAAAATATACAATAAATAATATTGGTAGCAATATGAGAGCCTTTCCTATAAAGGAGCAGCCTTTCATTATTTGATACTTCTAATGAATCTTTAAATTTTTGTGCTACTGTACATTAAAGGGATAGTTCACAGAAAAATTAAAATTCTCTCATTATCACTCACCACTCTGCCGATGGAGGGGTTGATAAAGAGTTTGAGTAAAACACTTTTGAAGTTTCAGGGGTAGACAGAATTGCAGCCAAAATCCAATACAATTGAAGTAACTGGGGACCCCTTCTCCATACATAAAAAAACCAAATGCCTCCGTATTGCTCCTGTGGTATCATCTAAGTGTCCCTTAGCCCGGACATTCAAATTTGACTCCAAACAAGGTCTTTTACACCATGTCCTTAGTCTAAATGTCCACTGTTCTCCACCTCTGCAGTCGTTTTGACATTTCCATGCACACGCTGCAAACAAGCTCTCGCCCAAGGGCATGTGCTGGATGTGCGGGAGCATCGCTACTTCTGGTAGCAGACATGGATTGAAAAAAGCCGTTTCAAATTGAATATGAATGTCGGGGCTTACGGACACTTGGATGACACCATAGGAGCAGTATGGAGGCATTTTCTGTAGTTTTTATACATTTAAGAAAAATATGTCACCATTTAAATCTATTATATTGGATTTGGCTGCAATGCTGTTCACCCCTGAAACTCCAAAAGTGTTTTGAGGACTTAAACCCACCCCTCCATCTGCATAGTGGTGAGTAGATATTGAGTGTATTTTTATTTTTCAGTGAACTATCCCTTTAGTATATTTAAAATACCATTAGCTGTTAAGCCTAACACGCATTTGTCCACCCTCTAGAGGAGTTTTGTAAGTTTATATGTTTTCTGCACTACTGACAATATAATGAACGCACTGACACTGGACAAAACATTCAATGAGATCACTTTACCTGGAAGCCGAGGAGAATGCAGAGGTACCACGGTGGCCTGTCATTGAGGGAGTAAACCAAATCCAGACTTTTGTCCACAGTCTCCTCCAGGGCCTCCGTGGGTGGCTCCTCAACGTCTACTGTCAGTTGGGGCTGTTCATCACTGTCTTTGCCCTTGGAAAGGAGCACAGCAAAGACAAACAAGACATCAATTCACCAATGTTTTTTATCCAAGAAAAAACAATACTTTCCACTATAATTCTACCCAGACCATACGGACACCAACTCCCACACCTACATTTTTTATCAACACATTTTAAACCAGACACTTAGTGTTTCTAAGAGCATACCAGAGACTCTCCTAGAGCTTAAGATTTCCTATGCCTTTGAAAGTAAGGATAATTCAGAGAAAGCCCTCTGTCTTCAGTTTTTTCTAAAGCTGTGGTTAGTTTAGTTCAGATGAGAGACATAAATACTGAGTGTGTGCAATGGAATTAATGTGAGTTATAGTGTGGGAGATGTGGGTGATAGTGGAGGGCAGGTAGGTGAACGATAGGCCTTCACTCAAATCCAATCAAGATGCTGTTGGTAAAGTTGTTCAGAGCAGAAATGCTCTTTTCCTGCCACACAACATTTTTAACATTGCACTATGACAGTATCCCTCTCTTCTGTCACTTTACTGTGTTTGCTAAGGTTGGAGCCAAAGCTGTGTATAAAATGTATATGGAGTTGGTTTGGACAATATATAAATATACATTTGTAGCCATTAATGTCATTGATTAGACACAAAGAGATGAAAGTAGATTTTTCTGCATTGCAGGCTCTATGTATAGTTTGGTATGTGTGTGTGCAGGTATATGTCTGTGCCATATTGTTCTACAGACAATTAGTTTGAATTAAGCCAATGTGATGCTTCTAACAGAATGGTTTGTGAAAAGACACAGCTTCCGAACATGCTAAATTAAAGCTACGATTTATTGATCAACATGGTAAAAATGAGAAAAGTCTGCTCTCAAAAAATTCCCCTGAAGGGATCTCGTATGCTGGCATATTGGCCAAGAATAATTTTTTGCCAAAAGTCTGAAGATTTCAAGTGGCTAACAAATATTTATAATTATAGCGCTTTGAACAGTTGTGTAGTCTATAGTATGTTTGACACAAGATATGTCTATTGGCTCTTTGAAATGTTCAGACTTTATGGACAAAGCCAGTTAACGCCATTTGAGAACCATTTGAATGAATATGAAGGAGTGTGCACTTCCGCGTATGCAGAGAACGAGTACAGACGGCCCTTCAGTGTGGCCCAGTGCACAAGAATGTGACCATATGCAGTCCATACTACATTGTCCAAGAAACTGGATCTATGTATGTCTTCACACGTGCATAGCCGTCTAAAGCTGGTATGAACAGGCCAAAGTGTTGAGTCTACCAAGGTAAAGTCATTAACCTTTGCTACACACTTCAATGTGAAAAAAATGCATATCAAGTGTTCCTCGGGTCATCGGACATATAGGACACTGAATGCTTTGGCTGACCACTTTGCAAAGACAAATGAAGTAGGTCAAGTGGTTTGGTATGGAGAAAAACAAGACTCAATGCTACCAACAGTGATTCATAAATGTGATACATTGATACAACCCCATTTTACAACTATTTGTATGAATATATTAGAGAAATTGTAGTAGATTAGGCATGTATCTGCTGTGTTCAGGGCAGGGTTATTTGTTTGTACATAATCAAACTGATCTGACACATATGGAGCTGTCTGTGTGTCTTAATAGCTGTTGTGCTACCCACAATGTCTGTTGGTAATTTAAACTAGCTTGGTTATGTTTTCATAGCTTGACCTCTGCCTACTCCACAGCTTTTTCCTGGATGTTTCCAATGCAGCTTCATGTGCTCAATAATTAGTTAATGAATAAGTACAAATCAAATCATTCAAAACACAAACTACTCATGTTCATTCATTTATATTGCCATATTAACTACAACCCACTACATCCAATGTGTTGTCTAACATTACTAAGCTAGATGTTTGGCTGACTTTTGTGAAATATTCTCAACATGAACATAAAACCAAACATGGAGAGAGTTTAACATTTGATCTTGGGCTGAGTTATAACTGACTATAACTTTATACATTTATATAAATAACTATAACATATGCTTACTTTTCAGCATAGGAACAGTGTTCATGTAAACTTGGAATCGAGCCACAATTAACAGTGTGTGTATAAAAATGCTCACAAATCATAGGTGCACTCCGGCACACCTCTGTGTGTCATCTTTGTGATGGACAGGCAGCTGTCCAGCATTTTTATGGGAGTATCCTTTGGGAAATCTGGTGACGGCGGATGTGAACATGACTTGAACTAGTGACTGTTAAGAACAGGTAATCCTTAAGGGTCACCTGATATGCGGGACCAGGGGCTGTCTTCAAATGCCAAGAGGTCAACTACCTTTTAAAACAGGCCCCATTGGACAGATCAGATTCCTGTGGGTTTATAGAAACACTTAGATGTGCCTGTTTGAAGTGTATGCCTGGTTTGGTTGTTTCATGTGTAAACAGTGCAATATCTACAAGTAAAACATTTGGCCAGTCAGTCATGACAATATATTAAATACTTTCTGACTTCTGTTTTCAGAATTATACGTCCTCATTATATATTTGGATTTACATTTGTATAATATGGGATGTCTCAAGTGACCTATAAACTGTCTTCAAATGCAAAGAGGTAATTTCCCTCTTCACAAAATCCACATGGGACAAATCAGTTCTTGAGGGTGCATGTCAGTAGATGTCACTTGCCTTTGAACTGTGATGGTGGTATTCAGGGGGTGTCTGAACTGTAGCGTTTCACTACAGAATACATGCCCATAAATGTATTTGTGAGGTAGACGCTGGATAAGTAACATATGCTTCAAACTCTGGATTCCTGACATCCTGTTCATTAGATGAATGTAACTCTGTGAATAATAATTCAGATCACTCGGTTTAGTTGCCCAAAAGGATGCAGACCCATTTTTCTTCTAGACCTTTTATTTTCCATAGCATTGTGTTAGAGGGAAAAAGACGAATATAAAACTATGTGAATTTATAGTTCCTTACAGCACATTTTGTTTTCATTCTCTTCCTACATTGACAGCCCCAGAAAAGGACGTTTTCACCTGCTGTGTTCCCACAGCATTAGATTAGTGAAAAAGATATAAATAACAAAAACGTAAATCTCTTGCTGCACAGAGCGGGCGAGTGAGCTAGCGTACCAAAAGGTTTTAGTTCTCAAATGGTTGTTTAAAAGAGTTCCCAGAGATAGGAAGGCTTTGATGATTGGACATAAATATAGTAGACTAAATTGGCTGGTCTCCACTCAGTGGTGTGTTAGGTAGACCTGTTCAGCAAGCTAACCACCATGCTGACAAGTCTAGCAGGCTTTTCTGTAGTCAGCTCACGATTTCAATTTAGTAGTTCATTTACTCAGTAGGTAATTTAGCTAGTGTTCAGCTAATGTTCGAGTCACCTTAATATTCAACTACTTTTAAATTTCACAGTGAAAAATGCAGACTTGAAAGTAATCTTCATGTAATCTATTGGTTGGCTGAACTCCAGTAGCTATGCAACTACTATATATATAGTATCTATTTTAAGGATGTAACTGTATTGTGATTACTGCCTTTTTATTTAGTGTAGTTTGTAATTGAGATACTCAACTTGTTATGCTTAAAGGTCTAGTGTGTACAATTTAGATGAAAGGGATCTATTTACAGAAACTGAATATAAAATAATCAATAACCTTTATATTTAAATACTTTACATACAACATAATAAGACTAAATTACAGTAATTGTCTGAGTGTAGAGTGTAGACATTACAGCCAGATTATAATCATTATGTAATTTAGTGAGACTAAATTACACCATGCCACCATTTTTATTTTGTCTTTTGAAAGTGTACTTTTTTCTTCTCATAATCACTGTAATAACTGACACATTTGTATGTTTGGTATTACATTACATTTATTATATTTTGATAGAATAATATATTGAAATAAAAATTAATTAACACATACAGATTGGTGTGGCATCAGTAATGCTGACACTAAAAAGGATTGTTGTAGCAAGGAGGGAACTGGGCCCAGGGGCAAAGCTTTTCATTTACCAGTCGATCAAGGTTCCAATGAGTCTGCAAATATGAGTGACCAGTGGATGGAGTTCAGACACCTGAATAGCACTTGCAGTAGAGCGGCTGCTCCTTTAGGTCAAAAGGGGTCAGTTGAAGTGCTTCAGGCATCTGATTAGGATGTCTCCTGGACCCATTACTTTGGATGTTTTCCAGGCATATCCAAGTGGGAGGAGACCCCGTGGTAGACCCAGAACTCACTGGTAGGATCATGTTTGGAATACCCTGCTTAATGTGCTGCCACTGTGACCCAACCTTGGATAAGCCAAAGATGGATGGATGGATTATTGGTTAATACTCTGGTATCTAGCTCACTGAAGAATAGAGGGTGGCAGTGGACAGGGAAAAGATGACATGGAATATTAAAGGGATAGTTCACCGAAAAACGAATCATCATTATCTACTCACCACTATGCTGATGGAAGGGTGGGTGAAGTGTTTGAGTCCACAAAACACATTTGGAGTTCCAAGGGTAAACAGTGTTGCAGCCTCATCCGATACAATTGAAGTAAATGGGACCACCTCTTCAAACAACTTCAAACTTAAAAAAACAACAGAAAAAAACCTAACATGCCTCCATACTGCTCCTGTGGTGTCATCCAAGTATCCACAAGCCACGACATTCAAATTCCACTCAAAACAACGTAATTTACACTTTGTTTCTCGCCTAAATGTCAACTAATATCTTCCTCTAGAGCCGCGTTCATGTTCGCACGAACACAAGCTCTAGCCCAAGGGTGCACGCGGTAGCATTGCTAGTTTTGGTAGCATCTCTTCTTCCAGCAGAGGACGTTTAGGCTACAAACATGGTGTAAATGTTGCTGTTTCAAGTTAAATTGGAATGTCTGGGCTTGGATGACACCACAAGAGCAGTATGAAGGCCTTAATTTATTTATTTTTTATGTTTGAACATGGGGTCTCCATTTACTTCAATTGCATTGGATTTGGCTGCAACACTGTTAACCCCTGAAAAGTGTTTTGTGGACTCAAACACTTCACCCACCCCTCCATCGACATAGTAGTGAGTAGATAATGCAAAGGCGATGGCTTCATCTGTGGACCTGTTCGGTCTGTAGGCTATCACTTTAACATATTGAGATATGGCTGTGATCCTTCTTGAAGTATGTAAGAAGAACAGTCACGCTTTACTAGCCAAGTATATTTTTACACACACAGGAATTTAACCTTCACTTTACCCATTTGTGAGCATTGAACATACACAAACTAGACTCTTTCACATGGCCTGTTCAAGGTGGGATTGTTGTACTTTTATTCTGCCTCTATAATCTATATACAAAAAGTAATAATATATATATATATATATATATATACATAATAAGGGGGCATTGTTCTTCTGTCTTAAGCAGGGGCTGGATCATCATATTTGCCAAATATAGAGCTCGGCGGGGTGGATGCTGATGTTTTGGTAGACATCACACCTCTGATTCTGGAATGCCTGCTGTCTATCTTGAATTACACACATTATGTCGCATTGGTTGGTTCAGTGTAAGCGAGCAAAGACATAACATTGAAGGGCATCCATAACGATATTACATCAGGATCTATGTATGAAGGGGACTACAAGGAGCAGTGAACTCACAACCACGTGGACTTTGAGGATGGGGGAGTTCAAGCACCCTTCCACTCTTTTCCTACCAGTCCAGGAAATAGAGCCAATAGCCTTTTAGTATGAAGCAACAACTTTAACCTCTAGGCCACAGTTGCCCCAGTGCTTTATTACTGAGTTTTAAATATTACTTTACCAATCAAATCTGCATCATATCACTAATAATTAACAGTTTATTTGCTATTGCATCATCCTTCTCACAGTATGTCTGACAGCTTATATACTGGAGACATCACAAAAGATAAGACCCAGACTGCAAGGAATCTATGTATATATTACATCAAAGTCCTATGACAAGAGAAAAAGCCAGATGCTACGTCATTCACTCTGAAACCTGCTGTCTCCTAGGGTAAGTCTGGCATTCAGTCAGCTCTTCAAAGAAAACACCTTGTTGTGCACATCCAACCATTGCATCTGTCTCACACAAGATTCACATGAGAGAGAAAGACTGCAAATCTGCACCACATTTCCTCTCTGTCTTTGATTTATGGTATTTCGCAAAGACATTTGCTATGGGATCACATGACCATATGCTTCCCTCTAGTGGTCATCCACCTGCACTCCACTGACCACAGGGGATGAGTCTGCGTACAGGGAGAGGTCCAACATAAACAGTCGTGAAAAATACTGTCACCACCTATTTCCCTCATGCTATTATATGGGTTAAATCATTTGTAAAAACTTCCAAAAGCTTCAATGATTGAACAAAAAGATAAATTAACTTGTCTTTCAGGGACAATTGTTGACTGTGTTTTGTATTTTGGGCTACTAACCATGTAATTACAATTTGCCCACTCTGATTAATGTTGGTCCAGGTGGAGGTATTCCAACTGCATTTTAGCAACAAAACATGAATTTAAAATTATTTTTTATCAGTCAGTTTCCTTATCCGCAAAGACAGACAGCAGGTTTCACTATATGGACAAAAATAAGAATTGGAAAGTGCTAGAACCAGATGGCACTAAAAGTGTGGTTAATCATCACTGAATGTAGCCAGTGCGATTATTGAGCGCACAGTGTCATGTGCTAAGATGTGTGCCTTCCATGTCACAGCTGTTATGATACAGTTGAAGAAGTTGGGCGTGGGAAGCCCCATTAGCTTGGCGGATCGTCGAGAGGCACTTGTGGTTAGTGACCACAAAGCAAACTGAAGAAAACTAAAGAACGGGTCCGATGATGCTCCAGTGCAGCAGGAAGACACCTTTTTTAGCTTTTCTGTTAACAGTGTCTGTAAACGTATATGCTGCCGTGACTCTAACTGATGTTACTTTCGAGTTTTAATTACTCATATTTTTTATATTTCATATTTCACGTTTAATGCATTTTGCACCGGGGATTAAAGGGAAACGCTATTTCAATTCTCTTTATGTCCTGCACATATGGCATTATTGATAATAAAGTTGACTTGACTTGACTTGAGTTTAATATCAAGACTCAACAATACCTTCAAGATTTAACTGCTCAATGCTTTTGGGATCTTGTCTCGCCACACTAAAAACTATGTGGAGTCGATCAAGCAGAAAAGGTGAAACTCAGCTTAGGTACCCATGTTTTCAGATTTTAATTTTAAAAAAATGACTTCCATGGGTCAACTATGTTATCTTTCCTTTTTTATTTTTTGATATTTACACATGTACAAAAGCTGATAGTGTTTTTTATTATCAGGGCATGGGTTAGGGTTACCTAACCAGTGCTGTGTCTAACCTGCAACTAAGGCCACAGGCCACTAATTACAAAACACCACCAATGAGGAGCTCAAGGATGCTATTGTCACCGGAGGTTTTAGCCTTCGTTTACACAAAGCTGGCCTTTTGCTTTGGAGTTTATCTTATGCTGATACCTGACACTAAAGTACTGGCACTACCTGACCTCCTCTTGATTCAAAGACGGATGGACAGACAAAAGCTCTCTTGTCTAAGCTGCAAGAAAAATGCCTACAAAGATATTTGCTCTCCAAGCCGAAGGCTTTGCTTAAAATTTGTGGCTAATGTGTACACTGGATCAGTTGTACAACTTACAACATGTGTCCATTTCCAAACTCTTGGCATCTGAAAATAAGTCATTGAAAAATACTCAAGTTACAAAATTATTGAATAATCTTAAAAAAAAACTTTAGCACTGAATGAAATCATTTAGTCTCACTGTTTAAAGCATGATTATCTGTTACCATTTGATTCTAGTCTGAATCAGTTAGCCTGAAGAAGTGATTTTTTCTCACTTGCAATGTCTTAACAAGCCATTTAATATGGTATTTAGCATTTCAAATTAAATCCGCCAGGGGATGACAATATCTGCCCCTGATGACAGCTCAATGGGACTTCTACAAATAAGCCCCACATACAACAGTAACAATAGAGAAAAAAAATACTAAAGGAATGTAATGTTCTGCACAACTTGGTTTAATCAGGGTGATTTTGTGACATGTGTGAATAGAAGGAAAAACATTTAGCTTTTGAGACTCTTTATGGACACTGTACTGATGTGTGACTACCTGATCAAAGCCTAAACATTTATCATGAAACTTTGTTTTCGTCTCTTGTTGGAGTGTCAGTATGGGAAAATAATAATTAATGAAGGCTTTGCCCAGTGTGAGTGTTGACAGCCTGACATGTTCACACATCTGCGAGTCAATGCTCCGCTGCTTGTTTTGCATTCCCACTTTCCCAAATTCTTCCGTTATTTGGGCTAAAGAGAAAAGAAGGGAAACATCAACATTGGAGTCAGCTGTGTACACTTGCACACCCCATGATGCCAGACCTTCGTAGCATTCTCATACATAAACGTACCACATGTACTCTCTTTATTCACTTTCTGTGTCTTGCTTGACTTTATATCAAAGAGTACTTCTAGATGAAAACGTTTGATCCAGTCTGACCACACTCGAGGCTGATATTTTACCACAAACACTTAAACTGTACTACTGATTCAACTCAAACAGCCTGTCTTTTGTGGAACACATTCCACAGTGGCTTACTTTTAGCTCTTACTGCTGTAAGTAAATAGCACTGTACTTCACTTTATCTTGCTCTGTTAGAAAAACTCAAAGAAAACAATTCTTTCAAAAGTCTTGCATGTGACCGTCCTCACTTACGGTACAATCTCCCACAGCAGTCTGTTTGAAACTTTGATTTTGTTGGTGTCGCAAAGTCCGTTTGAAGAACTGAGATGACACTTCACTTACCATAAATGCAGGATTGATTGACCCCTGTTCCTTGAGCCCAAGCTCTATTTTCTCCTCTGTCGTGAGTTGCATTCTGGATAAGAATGCAAGGTGTTGTACAGTTGCTTCGGAGGACCCAAGTGGACTCTGCTCAAATACACAGACACACGGTGGGAGTCCAACCGCAGACTGAGAACAGACCTAAGGGGACAAGTGACCGCCTCGTGTCACCAGGGAAACAGAGTATCACAGTCAAAGAGAGAGCGGCTCTGTTATATTGTAGTCCTCTCCGTGGCTCTGAGATGTTTCTGGTCTTTCGCTAAGTGAATGTAGGCTTTAGTCACCCTGGCTTACAGTCATGTGCCTGCTGGTGTGTGACGAGCGGAACCTAGGAGAGTAGACAAGCACGTTTGTCACATGCATTAATTTGGCATACCTATTAAGATGATCTCCTCCTTATCATGTCTTACCTAGTATTTTTGAGGATGAAATTCATGGCTGTTTCTCCACTTTTTTACCTGTGCTATGACAGACACCATGTTATCACATATCACATAATGATGCCTGACAATTGTGGAGGATGACACTGTCATATCACGTTATGTCTGAAACAGAACATTGTGTTACACTAACTCACATGAACTCACATGTATCATTTCTCATGCTGGGACTCATGCCTGCAGTGATGCTCTATTATAACTCAGTTTCAAACTTATGTAAAGAACGTTTGCAACTTGCCGTTAAAAAGGATCTTTTTACCACCAGTATTAAAGGTTATTTCATCACAAGTTAAATCTTTCCCTAACCTCAACTAAAGGGCTTTGTCAAATTTTTGCAATGCATTTGTATCTCTGAATGAGTCAGCATAGTTCTCAATATAATGTATAATGTTGTAAAAAGTAGTGTTGTTAGTTTTAATGTTATCCTCAATGTTACTGTGACGGCCACGGCCACACAGCTTACCATGGTTGTTGGGGAGTCCCTTCCTGCTGGCTAAGATGTGGCTGAGGGCAGAGGACACTTAAATCCTGGAGCCAGCTCATTGGGCCGAGTTATGTTTAGTTGTTTTGCTTTGTATTTAGTTGCAGTTGGTGGCCATCTTGTTTACACCTTGTTTGTTATCTGGTTTGGCCAAACCCCTATTTCAGTCAGACAACTCATGTTCAAACGTTTATTGCAACAGTAGAACAGGTGAGTGTTTGGCATCTAGGCTCCGACTTAATCGCTCTCCCTGATTTGATCACATAGATACAGTATGAGAATGGTGAGCAAATACTTGTAACCCTACAGGTGGATGCTGGGGAGGTGGAGGCGCTGAAACAACTGACTGCAAAGGTGATGCAAGCAAAGGGGGTTATGGGAAATTTTCTCTGCTTAAATAGACCGCCTAATAAGGTGGGTGTGTCATGTATTGTGTGTCACATGATTGGAGCAGCACATGTTGAGTTGGCTGCCTGAACTAGCTCGCAGGCATCGCTCCATTTATGTGGCCTCATGTCTCATTGCGGAGAGTCAGTTTTGTTCAGTTAACACGGTCATCTGCTGTTGCGTTAGGTATGGTTACCTTTTGTTGACTCCTTTTATAGGCCTAGTTATTACATTTTTGGTTTATAATGTGTTGTATTTCTTTGGGTAAATAAAAACCCAGGTCTTTAATTTACAACTCGAGTTCCCTCATTGTATCGCTTGAGAATTCATGAGAATTTCATATTATTTTGGTCATCTTCCATTTTAGCCTTAAAAAGGAAAAATAGCTTGATGAGCTCATAGGTCTGAGACAGGTCGGGCCAATCACAACCAAAAATAAAATAGGTTTGATGTGATGACTGACGGGAAGCACCTGGACAACGTTGATGGCGGATGCTGATGTGGAAAGGTCAACAATTGAACACAGAAGGTAATTGTGGTCCCTTCTAAGGGTCAGGCTAAAAATGCTGTGGTTGACCTGTTAAAAAGCAAAATTCTCAGAAATCTACCAAGACTAAGTCCCACTGAATGCAAGGTTGATGGCGGCCTTCCTTTTTTGACAAATCTTGCTCATTTATGACAGAAATGGGTATGGCTACATCCCGAGATTGGTCAAAATACAAAAGTTGTATTATATTTGATGTTTGCATTATGCTTAGACTATGATCCCATGCTACCACCTTGACCTTTGACAAAAGAAAAAGAAAATCAACAGACCAGATCCTTCTAGCTCCAATCAGCACAACAATTTAAATTCAATTGGATAAAAACCAGTTTGAGTTATTGCTATTGTAATTTTTTGTCCAGTCTGGACTAATGTAAAAACATGGCGGCCTCTGTAGAGAGGACCCCCTCGATGTAAATATAAAGTATTTAAATATAAAG